CAAATCAATATACTTGTTTCTAGCAGCCATCATCATAATTCAAATAGGACAGTTTTAACCTTGACATGAAAGTACCTCTAACTGGACCTCGCTGACGAAAAGAAGATGGCCTCTTTATTGATTTTAGAGCAAAGTGCTGGCTGCCAGCACCCAATAGAAAAAAGGTTACAGTTAAATATTCATAATAATATACATGACTAAGCATGATGCTGCAGGGAAAAAGGAGACTCCTACACCCCCTACACCCTCCACCACTGGCCTGTCCTCCTTTCTAAATAAGCTAAAGCTGCGGCCTCACATCTACTTGCGCTACATTATTTCCTCAAACAAACATCACATAACATGGAGTCAAAACGCTTCTCACGCAAAAAGAAATGCTGCACACAAATTGTGCTGTCAAAACCAGTCTTTTGATTTGGTGCTCATTTGTGGATCTAAACCGTCCCCTTACTTTGGGCAGAATACAAGCCGAGAGTCTGTGACAGAGCACTTAAACACAACTGTGGACATTCTACTGAACTTGGACTGAATCTTTATCAAGTTAAATAGAATTCCTGCCTACAAATAAACAGACTGACCACAATTCAGATAGTGTGTGAATAAAGGACTTGCCTCGACAATCCACAAAAGGAAAAATGTATCCAAGCTATTTCTAGAGCATTTGAGAAAATACCATGCAGAGAAAAAATGATTGCGCGCACACACACACACACACTAATTAAAGTCTAATCAGTGAAGCAAAGAAGGAACAGCTGTCTTCATTTTCTCCTTCAACATAACGATTTTGCTTGCGTGTTTCCGTCACATGCAGACGCTCTTATGGCCACATAGGCGAAATATTTCACAACAACCACTCCCCATCTCACTCACTTTCTCACGTACCAACAGAGACAATGCATACAGTTAAACACAAGCCTACATCAATTGAACCATCCCACCGTTTGGCACCGTTATCCCCCACACGCCCGGAGCAAACAGATGGTGTATGTTCTGAGCACACTAACGATGGTGCCCAAGTTGCTGCTGTGGGCCTGAAATCTGTGCGGTGGAGGAGTCTTCATACGACCGTCGGAGCGGGGCCCTGCATGTGGGTTTTCTGCTCAACCATCACGACGTAGTCATGATTCACATTTCAAGAGGGAGTGCAGGCTGTGGAAAGCCGGTTCCCTGATGGAGAGCCCTTGGAATGCAGGAAACCGTCCCAGCATGCACCCACACTCGTGACGGCCTAAATCTCACACCCACAGCGTTTGTCACACAAAAAGAAACTGGGCGATGCATGCTTTTGCATTTGTGTCACAAAATACTGAAGAAAAAAAAGAAAACAATCCTCAGTTATATCTTTAAAATGAAAAAAAAGACAAAAATTCAATTCTGTTATATCAAGATACTTGCAGGTGCACTAAAAACAGCATTTTTAAGCTCTTATCTCTGTGATTATGATACATGACACAGCACAGTGGTGGGATATAAATGCCATTTGCTTACACAACACTACCAGTGACTATTTACAGTGGCTGTGATTCACTATCAACTTTACAACCAAAAGTGGACCTCAAGAGATGCACGGAATCCTGCAGACTGTCTGGACTGAGGCGACTTTCTCAGAGCAAAGGATTTACACCGGGAGAGGAGGCGAGTCAGCTCTGATTTATATGGCAACAGCAGTACATAATGCTGAGTGCTATACAGCAGAGCAAATGTGACAAATAACAAAACCGGGCGTTAACAAAATAAATAAAAAATCCATCTAAAGCACAAATGTCATCCAGAGAAGGCTGAATTGAAAAGCACAAAAATGGCAGTTGAACCATAAAGTGATGTCATCAAACTTTTCAGCAGTTTATTATGGCAGAAAAGGCATTTAAAAGCGCCCCTTTGTGAGTTTACTCATTCCCTCAAGAATCCTTTCCTGGGTCAGGTTATTTGGGAGAAGCGCTGATAACCGGAAAGTGAAAAGCAGGGGCTTTACGAGACAGACTCACTACCTTCACAATCACACAGATATTCCTCCATTCCCTGAGCAAGACTACTTTACATAATCAGGAGCCATTTTGTGTGCATCATTAACTCCGTCCTGAAAGGAACCCTTTTAATCATTCCTTGGAGAAGGTGCATTGATGATTTGCACCGGTCAAATCAGTCAGACCAGGTGACACGTTGCAGAGTTGCTCAGGCTGTGGTGAGGCCGTCTATTGCAGCTGCCGCAATCCCTCCCTGCACCTTGAAAAGATCTTCCTTTTGATGGTTTGATCGACTTTGATCGGTAGGTCACTTCCAACCGAACACGCTTCCTCACCCATGGATGAAGACTGACTCAGTTGATTCCAGGACTATGGAAATGAGGCTGATCCAAATTCCACACCTCTATTCTGCAGTGTGGATAATGGTGGAAAGTTTTGCTGAGTGGATAAGCTTTTACTGTATTCTTCTGGGGGAAAGTTATGAACCTGTTAAACTCAACTGTCAATAAAAAAGGTGGGGGAAAAAATCCCGGCGCTCAAAAAGGATGAAAAGGATAAACGTTAGCCTTGTTAGAGGCCTTGAAAGCTTAACCTCGGAGAGGCATGTTTGAAAGATACAAAGCGACATGAGCACAGATCACTCCATGCTACTGCACTTCCTCTTGGGCACAGTGCCTGCACAAGCATTAGCCTTTGCACTCTCCCTTTTCTTTCTTTCGCTCTCTTCTTCCTTTAAAACCACGAAACACAATGTCGTAGCCTGGTGCGTGCGCCGCTGAGCCTCACTCTGCATTCAGGCCTACATCTGATGCAAGTCTGGTTCACAAACACAGAGCCAGTTATGTACTTTAGACTTCACTGGGGAAGCGAAGAACACAAATAGCCGCTGGCCCTGCAAGATGAAAATGATTTTACCCATTCAATATCATTAGACTCAATAATGACAGCGAGCAAACATGGCGACGACGCCGCTAGCAAATCAGATGGAAAGGACGGTTATGTCACATCGGACGACACTTCTGGGGCCGAGTACTGTGCGCCCTCAAATCAACGCCTGATCTTAATTTCATAGTCATTTTTAACCCCTCGCAAAGCTGATTCTGCTATGAAAGGCACACCATCCATTTTTATGTTTTGTTATCTGAGGTTGTCATTTGAAAGACTATTAATATGAATCCAATACGAATAATAGTTCAATTCACATGTAGCCAACGGTTTTATCGAATGTGACTTACAATAAGTGGATTCAACCGAGAGGGTACAGACCCTAAAAAACAAGAATCAAGGCAATTTGTTCAAGAAAGCCAAACTACAAGTACTATAAGTGCTATCGTAAGTGCTAATAAAATATCAGAAAACAAGTCATCTACCACTTGCAGGACCATACATATAAACAAGAAAAATGCTCCTGTAGAATGTTTATGCAATGAAATGGTTAAAAATAGGGAAACGATTGAAAAGCTGCTGAAGGAGGCTCTTCATTGGCTTCTATATTGACATCTTTGATAAAAACCCATCTGCACTTCATTTTTAATATCACCAAACAAAGAAGTGTGTTCAGTGATATTAATTTTCTCAACTAGCTGCCCCTTTTAGCAAAAATACCATTAAATCATTAATCAAGGCAAGAAATATGCAAGTTACATTGTTATCAAGCTTTTCTATACGGTTGCTTGAATAGAATGAATGGAAACATGCTCTAAATAGATTCAGCTGTTGAATTGAGATTGTGCTAAACCAGCTTTATAGTGATGCTAATTTATGCACTGAGGTTCATTATTTACACTCAAAGTTCAGGTCTTTTTCCTTATTTGTGACTCATCTGCTGCAGTCTCTCCCGTTCATGGGATGTGTTCTGTGTGTCTCTCCCTGTCCACGGCCTTCGCACCCGTCACACCCTAAATTAAGGCAAGCTTAATGTTACGCAGGGTAAGATTTGCTAAATGAATTGTGCCTATAGCAAAAGAACTCTGGTACTTTGCATAAAATGGATCACAACGTACTGTACCTCACCACTGAAAGGTGATGGGAACTCACCAATGCTGCAGACAGATTGTGTAATTCACCACACAAAGAGAAGACATTTTTGTTTTGTCATGAATGTTTTTTTGTAATGCCTAAATGTTGAAAATATATAGGCTATGTACGTCTCTCTGGGTTTCTACACAATACGAGGCTCAATTGTTAATAAATTATTAACCCTTTTGTCAGAGTGATGCTACAGAAGTGTCAATACCACAACAGAGCAGTAATCCAATGATTGAAGGGGTCCGCTAAATATTCTATTCAATGCAGCATAATGTCAATATATGTTGCGGGCAAAAGCAGTGCTTGTTTAAACGGCCCAACAGTGACACTCTTTATTATGACAGAAACGTGTTAGTTCGATACTAACAAGTCAAGTGAATGCTTGAAAGCTTTAGGGTCAATAATTAAAAACAAAGTCAACCAAAGGGATCTGCAGTGATGATAATCTATAAACCAATACTATAAATCAAAAACTATGGGGGTATCAGCAGAAGGTGAACAAAAGGTTTAGTAGTATTCTTGCACCCGACTAATTTTCCATTTAAAGCTTAACAAATGCAGTCTACTGTACTTTGTCTGCAGTGCTTGTTTTTCTCTCCTTCCCAAAACCAATCAGGGGCCAGAAGCTTAATTTAAATGATGAGCCAACAAGTTGTATTGCTGAAGAACAAACATTGCATAAGAATATAAATTGCAAATTGTTCCATCTCAGATCTCGGACGCACGGGGCATTTCATTTGTTACTGTCATTACAACGATCATCAATACTCAACAGTTTGGGTTTGGCAGTTCTGACAGGAAGGAGTAAGGAAGAAAAACGGGTGTACAATAACACGTCGGGTAAAACGGACAGTATTAATTGTAGCCTCGGCCACGACGCATTTCACGATTCAAATATCACTTTAGCATTAGGAGCTACGATCCTGCGGGTTAAGTTGAATTGAACATTTCTCACAGTTTTACGGGCAAATTAAAAAGTGCCTGTTAACCCATTCGGACGTGCCCTACCTATACTTCATGCCAGTCCTCATGCTCTGCTCGCTGGAGGTCGGCACACTCTGCACAGAGAGTTGTCCGAGACTTCGAGCCACCATCGCCACTGCCCTGAACTTGCTGCGGGTGCCGGTGTTGGGGCTGTTGGCGTTCTGTCGGTTTAGCCGGTCCTCCGTGGTGCGGCTCACCCCCCCGCGGTGGTCCGTGCACACTAATGACACCTGCATCGCGGCTGCTGGGCGGCCGGCACAGTAGAAGACGATATATTTAAACTCTCAAGTCAGTTGAGACAAACTCCCGGAAGGTTGAAGACGGATCAGTCTGTGGGAGCTGACTGGTCCGATTCCGGCCACACACAGACACACACACACACACACACGCACGCACGCAGAGTGCCTCCGTTGGAAATCACTGCCCAGTCGCCGAAGTGACTGAGCTCAACAATGTTCAGTAGAAGAAGAAAAAAAAAAAAGGGTTTGGAAGGCAGATCAGAATGGATTTCTAACAGTGAAGGACTGCTGATCAGGTGAAAGCAAAATCCTCTCAAAAAGACGTCCAAATCCAAGCACTACAAAACAGCATCTCCGTCTCAGCTGGCGTGAGAATCAAATATGCAATCCCTGCCGACCTCAGGTACATACAACTAACGCAGGCAGTACAAAGCTTTGAATCTTAAAAAAAAAAAAAAAAGTCCAAACAAACAAAATCAAAGCTCGCATAAATTTCCCTCTGCAAGTTCTTCTTTGATTGGTCCAGGTGCCGTCCCTCGTCTTTATCTTTTAATCAGAGGCTCATCAGAACCTGACGGGCAGATTTAGTCTTGCAATTTCCTTTTAAAGCAGAGCTCAGAGGTAGAGATAAAACCTCTTGATCCACACAAAGGGATGGAGAGAATAAAACACAAACGTGCAGTTCCAGGAGGTTTTCATCTCACCTTCTGGGTTTGCCTTGACAGCTGAGTTGGCTGCTGGATATTCTACTGAATACTACTCCATGTTAGCAAAAGGGCAACCTTGCCAGCTCTGGCTGTTGCCTGGCTTAAACTTACATCTGTATGCCTCGTGCTCTGTGTAAAGCTGCACGGTGCACACATGCAAGAGATGGGAGGAGGGAGAGAGAGAGAAAGAGAGAGAGAGATGTGGTGGGAGGGATGTGAAGAGAAGCTATGTGGAGGAATATGCAGAGAGTTACAGCAGCGTGAGAGAGCAGGGCATTGGAATTTGCTGTGTTTATAGAAAATGTAGCGCATTTGTTATTTAAAAATTTCTCCTCTTTGGATGTCTGAACATCCAATATAGTCTATTCTATCAGAGCAAAAAGGGGGAAGAGGGATACTCGCTGGTCAGGACCTTGCAATAGTCGCTGTCTCCGGAAAAAGGGGCTCTCACGTGGGTGTGTTCAACTGCCCATGAAAAATTCATTATGTAACTTTATCTTTGTTAATAAATGTTAAAGGCAGGGCTGTCTAAGACTGAACTGGCACGCTTTGTTCTTCCTTCTTAGTTCCTTTTCATTCCAAATCTTGAAAATTTTTCAACTTGGCAAAGAATTAGTGTAGCAGCAGAATACGGTGCAATAGATTCCCATACAATTCTGCTAATAATGGTTATTAGATACTCAAACAATGAGATCGTTCTTTGACGAAGTGAACGGAAACTAAATGATAACTGTTGCAGGTTGAAAGTAAACACCACAGTAATTGGAGGAAATGCAACAATGGATGTCAATTGGAGGGAGACTAGATTATACATACAATCCCAGTAACATAATAGTGATGCCTTTCATAGTGGACCAGCTAGTGTGCCAGGAGATAATTAAAAGAGATGCCATCAGGAGCGAACATGTATTGTAGAGCAGTCAAGGAAGCAACGCCCATCACGGGAAAATAGCAAACGCGCAGGTGCTAACTGACAGATCTATTCTTGGAGCAATGACCTTTGAGCTTAGACTTAAATGGGACCCTATGAGGAGAAGAGGTCTAATTCAACTCAAATATGATGTAAATATCACACTGTACGAAGAGAGCAGAGAAGCCATGCTCAAGAGGGCCTCACGAGTGCTCCTTCCTACGAGGGGGCGAGATATTTAAAAAGGAAGCCCCTGATTCAGCACGAACGTGCAAAGCAATCTCTGCAGTGACAGCCGAGGGCAGCATATGGGCTGGATGGACGCGCTCGGGGAACACATTTGGGGCCATTCGCTCTCTACTCATTTGTCGACAAAGCAGTTGAGCCCGAGGGCAGTGCGGCGTGTCGTGGCGTCCGCAGGGTACGGCCCGTGCACACACTGCCACTGATGGGGAAACGTGACGCCGCCATCCACTCCGCTCTGTTCCGGGGCGGCCGCGGTTGGTGACATGCAAGGTCCTCAGAAGGGGGCGGGGCCAGCTAAAGGAGCTCAGGCTGCACAGATACCGCGTCAGCAGAGAGAAATCAGGCCCCCGGCTAGATCACGGAACACTTCCGCAATATGGGCATTCCATGCAACATTCAGGCAAGGGGGTGAAATTTAAAAAAATGTAAATAACAAACAGTAAAAACAGTCACCCTTATATTGTCAAGACATTAAGACCCTGCTACAGTACTAAACCATATTGGTTATCAGTACTAAATCATACAAATCCTTTGTAGAACCTTGATTTATCTGCCTTCCGAAAGTCTACACATTTATTGACTTTTGGGCAAAGCAATGTACAGCGATCAATACAAGTGTGCATCATCTGACAGTCCAGTGATCAATCACCTAAATTAAATCAATAGAACAAACATTTTTGAATAATGGATCCATCGGGCATTTTGTTAAGCAAACTGTTGCAAACCCTATTTGCAACAGTTTGTGTCTTTACTGTCAAATATCTTAGACTGAAAAAGGCCCGACACCAAATGTAATTACCAGGAGCTATAAAGTGCAACAAATAGTCTCATTCCACTAGACGCCTGTCACACTTACTGTAATTTAATAATTCACATAAGGCACATCTGGCAGATTAACAGCATGCATTTTATTCGCTTTAATCGTCTTTTGATAACAAAAAAAAAAAAAAGATAAAAGACGGCCGACACTCATCACTGCACAATAGTGTGCACGTTTGTCTTAAAGAAATCACATTGTTAGCAGGTGTTGCTGTGAGCCTGCCCGACAGGCATTTCAAATCCACTTCACCGCGTGCTGTCAAGTCAAGAGACGATTGGGGAAACATTTTGTATCTCTTTTGTTAGACCCGCAACCTTGTTCCACATGGGCCCACTTATCAAAACCCATGAAGCGCACTCATGGCGTTGCTGAAGGGGAGGTCCTTCATCCGCGTGACATTGGAGACCCATAAACTACCTGCGTGCTTGTTTCAGCAGCCACGGAGGCCGACACGTCAGCGGCTGGTGATCTCAGAGTCAAAGGCAATCTGAACAAGTGCTTGCAAGTTTATAATCTCATTCAGTCTCTTCACGCACACTTTAATTAGGATTCTTTTCTTAATGCTGGTATTGAGCAATTACTGGCCTGAACTATTATCTGCTTTGTGCTCATTCAGTCTGTGGAAGCACATTTGGAATGAACCGATTTCCATTGTTACAAGATGAATCAGTCATAAAGGACGCTGAACTAGAGATAAGAACTTTAACCTTTAAATAATGCTGCTGTAATTAGTGACACTGTGTTCACGGTCTTCACAGTAGAGTGGCTGAACCCAATGTCTCCTTGCCTTGATTAAGGGCCTGTTTTAGTGGTTATCCCAAAATATTCTGAGCTGCTAAAACCACTCACACGCACTCAGTGTGTGTGTGTGTGTGTGTGTGACTGCAGAGCACTGATGGGGCCCGGCGCTTCATTAAATGTGTGGGGGAGGATGTGGAGAGAAAGCAGGTGACTTACAGATGAACAACAAAAAAAAGAACCAATATGCAGATTCCTATTCACTACCAAGTGGTATGAAAAAGCTGCGGGGACGTATCTTCCGTATTGACAAAACCAAATCTCTTACTAACAATGGAAGAAAGGAACACGGCAGAAAGACCGACAGTTACAATGATTGGTTTAGTTAATCCTTTGAGCCCTGATCGGGAAGAAGGGTTGGCGATCACTTCTCCCAGCCCACGTGCTGCAGCTGAGCGGCAAAGACCATCACTGCGCGGCCATTGACAGAACGTTAGAAACTACTCTGACCACAAAAAGGTACACTTGCCGACCAAAACGAGCAGCGATGCTTCACCTCAACGGCAGCGTTAGCGCTAAAAATACTCCACGGCTCTATGAATCAATTCTTGCAGTGAGCGGATAAAAAACAAAACAAAGACCGCCTTTAGCCATTTGAAAAGGATCCCAAAATGTGATGTTCCAGATCGTTTCATGCGGCCGTTCACTAATTTGGTCTCAGGGGCGGTTCATGTACCTCGGTTGAGCTGGAGACGGCACAGGAACTGGCATCCAGAGTCGCCGCAGGGCACTGACGCACAAAGCGACCAAACTAGTTGGGAAAGCACGGCCTTTCTGCTCTGTGAGCAGGAGGTCCCCTGCAAAATACACTGGGGATTCACTTTTAAAGGTGAGGAAAATGTATTAAGTGACATCCCTGCGAGCGTTAGCGCACTGTTCACCAAGATGAGGGATAGAGGAGTTTTATCATGTGTTACTGTTGGTCATCTGTCTAATGGAGGTTAAAGTTCCACTTACGGAGGGTTTAATTGAGCATCATAGTGAGGATTTGAGTAACAAAGTGTAAAGGATATCCCTGAGATGGGAGTGGTGAGACAGAAGAGTGTGTTAGTGTAAGTGAGTGGGTGGAAGGGCTTAACGGAGTTAATGGAAAGGAATGTGAGCTCAGACAGACTGACGGACATCCAGAGATGTGGAAATGCTTCTCTAGCGACTTAATGCATCCTGAGGTTGCGTCCATACGTACCTAATGTATGGACCCAACACTGTTACAATGCTGTAGTTAAGTGAAGCAGAAAAATACATCATAGAATAAATGTATTTTCAAATCTGTCGGATATAAAAGATGAAAAACAGAAGGGGTATTAAAAATGGTGTAGATAATTGTCACAACGAATGTTGAAAATTGGGTTGAGCTAATTCTATATCATTATTATTTTTCTGGGAGTTCCCGAGAACACTGTGCGGGACACATCTGTGTGCAGCAAGCGCTGCAATTCTTAATTCTCCAGTGAACATGACTGATTCCCCGGCAGACAGCTGGGCTCAAGAAGAGTCGTTGTTTCAGATGTCCCCATCGACAGATCTAACGGGAGCTGAGACAATGAAGACCAGCAGACAGGGGACCCCTTTTATTATGCAACGTAGCCATTACAATGATTTCCGTCTTTAGCTGTTCTGAGATTATATGTTGTAAACGATATAGGAAAATAGTGACAGCATGATTGTAAATTGTTGTTGTATACTTAATGGGTTACGGCACCCAGTTAATAATCCAAAAAAAGACGACATTTCTGATTCAGTAAACAATGGAGTAAGTGCCGCGCCAAAGCCATGAAAGGATTTCAGCATCAACGGCTTGTGAACAAGCTGTAGCTAAACCGGGATGAGTTACACAGTCCGCGGGAGCGCGCTCACTAATCTGAGAAGAGAGAGTGGAGGAAGCACAATAATCTGTCCTATTCAACAGAAGAGCCTCCTCCGGCCTGCCTGCCTGTGTGTCTGTATTTGTCCTACCTAGGGTTCATGCAGTGGAGCGTTGCCGGGCAGAAGTGCTTTATACTGCACACACAGTGGGATGAAGCGGCTGCTCGCCCTCGTGCCTCTTGGCCTCCTGTTCCCAGACTGCTTTGAGTTCAAATACTGGAGAAAAAGACCTGGGTGGCCTCAACACAGACAGATATCCTCAGTCTCCTTCAAGTTGGCACGGTCACATCATAGCTGTGTCTTTGAATGTACCATTGGCAACTTGAGATGAACAAGTCCTGATATCAACAG